TCCTTAGTTCAAAGCGAAGCAGGTTTGTGAGGTGTTGGCACGCCAAGACAGACGGCTGGGCAGCATCGACATTCCACAACAACTGCGATGGGAGGGGACCCACAGTGACACTCATCAAAGCTGTTAACTCCATCTTTGGTGGCTACACTGATGTATCATGGAGCAGTAAGTACATCTTAGCCATTACGTTTTTTCGGTGCAGCGTGTTAAGTATTTAGAAAGGCAAGGAATTAACGTTGTAAAAAATGCTTGGCGTCTATAACAGAAAAAAATGTCTCTGAACCACGTTCCTTGAAATTCTTCCACCAGGACACTCAGGTGTCCTGGTGACCAAGCAGTAAGCAAGTTTCATAATGAACAGATATATATCTTTGTTTTGTTGTATTGTAGCATTAGTTAAATTTAGGATCCAAATATATTCTCTATCTTAACTGCATTTATTGATTATCGCAGAACCAAAACCAAGTTTGAAAATACTATAGTTGTAGTCAGGCATGATGATAAATAGAATTTTTTGTTGTTGTCACTAACTAAAAAACTTTGTGTGAGGACATTTCGGTTAAAATACTATAACCTTCTTCAGCAATAAAATGGGTACGAAAGCAAATGAGTGCTTTAAAAAGAGCCGCAGAAACGTCACTTGGGATTGCCAAGGGCCTTGTGAACGTCAGGAATGTAAATGTGTTCATTTGATTCACAAATTGAATGCCAAGCTTCTAAAAATAATCTTTTCCACCATTGGGAACAGCGGTCAGTGATCTTGACGTCCTCGAGGTCAAAATCATGATTGTATCTTATACAATGTTGGGTTAATAAAGAATTTCTATCTCCCGTGAAAATCACCCTCTTGTGTTCTCTAATCCTGGATCTTAAGGCTCTTGATGTTCGACCGATATAAACTTTGTCACAATTTTTATAACTGATTTTATAGATCACTACTGTTGATAATGTGATATGCTGACGTCTGTTCTCAACCTTACACTGCACCCGTAATTCAGCCTCTGGGCTGCAAATAAACTAGATTACTGTGTGATGGATGTCCTCCCCTGGG